GAATGTGTGTCTGTTTACAAATGTGAAACTTTTCTGCAGTACAGCTATGACTATCAGACGGACGACCAGTGAGCTGTCTACTGGGACATTCACTGTTCATATTATTTCTATTGTTGCACATTTTCCTGCAAGAAACTGTAAGTTTCTCTGATAAACAATACTTTTGTTTCAACAATGGACAAAAAGAATTGAATCAAAGCTTCACTGCATCCATTGTTTATCAGTTGATGAGAATTAAAAGAATTTTAAAAATGCCCACTTATAAAAGTTTCTTTAGGAATTGAATGATCAGCACTTGTTTTCCCAAAAGTACACGGTGTCAAAATATGAATTTGATTAAAAAAGATTGTCAGTGGACTGGACCCTTAAGCAAAGAATCTGAGAGGCTCTGTCATAGTTTGGGGTTTTATTTTGCCCAGTGGTGTGTAAAGACTAATTGAACCATTGATAGAAGGAACGTCAAATTTTGATGAACCAGGTGCTGTCTGATCTTTAGGCATGGCCAGAAGCTTAAAAAATATATTAATCCCCCACAAAAACAGGCTGCCACACAGGAGGCGCCACTGAGTATGTGGCTCCTATGGGGCTCTGACGAAGGACCTTGTGCATCTACAGCATGTGTGTACAGCAGGTACGATAACCGTAGCGTTACCTGCTACTAATGGATACCATTAAAAACAACACAACAAAAACAAATAATAAGACTTGGTCCTATTAGTGCTTGAATGACCCCATCCTGCTAACATATTCTGTTCTGCTATCAGCAGCAGCAGCAGCAGCAATGGTAAAGGTATGAGTAGCACTGATGCTGCTGCAGCGGTGCACTGACTGGCTGCTGGAGAGTGCGCGTACGTGTGCACGCAGCAGCACAGTCACACCTCGGCATGGTCACAGTCTACCTACCTAAACGGTTCATTTTAGACATCTCTGCCTTCCCCATCACCCTCCCCCTCCCCCTCCCCTCGTAGACAATTTAAACGCAGGACGCAGTCAGCAAACCGTGGCGGCAGCAGCATCACTGCTCATCAACATCATCATCATCATCTTCATCATCATCCAGCCAGGAAATATCTGCAGCAGCACAACTAGTACTGTAGGTTATTACGCAGGCTGGCTGCCGATCAATAAGAGCAACATCCCGCCCCGCAGCCCCCCAACACTGCTTTGACACACCAAACGGGGAAGCCCTTGCGCATAAATCAAGGCATTTCTTTAAGGAATCACTCACCCGATGTTGCTCAACGCCTGCTCGAACAGCTCCGTCTGCAAGATGTTCTGAGGCGCCGTGAAAGCCCCGTTGAAATGTGATAAAACCGAGCTACAGAACTGACGCAATGTCTCAAACTGCATTTTCCCCCGCTGTTGTCTCGTATCCTCAGTAAATGTCCACCCTTTTGCCTTTCACCTACTACAATACATCCCAAAGGCTGCATGCGCTCTCCCCGGACGCCCCCTGCGCACATACAGGCTGCATACACCACCACCTCCTCCTCAGGATACTGTTGTTATTATCTCCCGGGGGCGCATTAAACGCAGAAAAGGCGCCGATCAAGTTCCATATTTCTCCTGGCGCTCCTGGTGAAAAGTGTCCTTAAACGAGACGCATTCCAAGCGGGATCCTGTGGTCATATTGAAGCGACGGGAAGAGGAGTTAGAGCTGGTGCCGGGAGGATGGCTTTTCTGCTGGTTGTGGAAAATTTCTCCTCTCGATCATGCACCGAAGGAGACGAAGACGCGCCAGGACGACAGTGGAGGCACCGGAGCATCTTAAAGCACTGCCAGCAAACATAACAGAAACGGCAGCAGCAGCAGCAGCATCGTTTGCCGGCGCATCAACTGCTGCCTCACACTCAACTCATATTTCCAGTGGAGAGAACACACTGGCTGTGGCACTGACGCGCACGCGTACACACACGCACGCACAATGGTGGCTAATATGCAATCGTACGCATTCTTTGCCATATCTCTCCATCTTCTACCGTGCGCTCTTTGCTACGCGCAAAGCAGCAGATGGAGCGCAACACGATAAATGCGAAAGATGCGACGCTGTCGTCAGGTTTTATATCCTCCCTAATCTTCTACATCTGACGACTGAGCATCAGCTGCTGATCAGTATTAACGACAGTCCTAATATTTCTGGAAAGACAGAATACACTGTCTGTCTGGGAGGAAAGGGGACACGTAAAAGTGGAGGAGGGGGTTTCCCCAGAGGCTACTTATTTATTTAATTAATAGGGTTTTTCCCCTATTTATTAATCCAGGGTTTGGTGAAAGTTACAGTCATCAGCTAAAAAACACTCAGGGAGAAGCAAAATCATACGGGATCAAAGAAAGGATTTGTTTTTTCATGACGATACAGTTTCTCTTGATGGAGTTTTTTTTATGGAGAACAGTATGTACGGATACTACAATAATAACAGGTAAAATGCAGGAACATTGTTCTCTATGTGTTTCTAAACTGCCTAAGTGACATTCATTTAGTTTTAGGCATTCAAGCAACCCTTAAATTAACTTCACATACTGATGGTCAAAATGCATAGAAGTACGCATATGCCAGGCACAGACCATGTATTTATTACTAGTTAGCAAACTGACAACCTTCAGTAAAGCTGAAGGAAAATTAGGCGCCACTCTCCTGTTAGGTCAGGATTTTCTTTTCCCTGTAACTTCAAACCTATTTTAAAAAAAAGCAAAACATGAAGGAGATGGGTATACATGCATTTTCCCACTGTGGCTTAGATAGGGGTATTTTCTTATTCTTATTATCTTTATCTTTAAAATTAGCACCATGTAAAATGGGACCAACATTTTTGGTAGCATTTTTCTAGCTTGCCTTTTTTATGATATAAAAATACAGATTCCCAAACAGTGAGTTAGATCCAGTACCACACAATCGTTGTTTCCATCAGCCTCACCCCGCACAGCAACCAATGCCCCTGCGTATTTGTTTGTCCATTCAAATGACACCTCTGTGACTGAGATAAATTACGAGTTATTTCATCTTATAAATAGACTGTCAGCCTTTCTCCTCCTTCTTTCAATAGAAAGCATCCAAGAGTTAATTTAAACATTCTTTAAGATTAATGAAAGTGGGCTTTGGTGCTTATGCAGAGGGAATTCTATTTGTGGACTTCCAGCAATCTATCATCAGCATTAACCCGAGTTTTCAAACTCCAAGTTTCCTGTTCTTGTGTCACTGTCAATGTTCAGGACGCCTGAGGCAAGAAAGTTCCCTTACGACTCCTGGAGCACACAAACAACTGTTACAAGGAGGTATGGAAATCAACAAACAAAAGGTCAACTAAATGACCTAAGGTCATTGAGGTCAACTTTATTCATTTAAATGATTAAAATATTCTTATCTTATATTTATAAGTAAAAAATACTGACTATGCAAAGAGAGGGCCCATACCACCATATCCACCTGAGTCAAGTGTTGGTTGAGGGAAAGTAGATGAAAAATATCAGCCACTGTTATTACTATTTCTGTTAGCTTCCATGGTCCAAGGTCAGCGGTTGATATAACAGAAGGGGGCACACCAGACTAATGCATCATGTCACAAAACTCCTGGTAGGGTCACATTACACATGTTGTGTTGTTTCTACACTAACAGATGAGGTCATTTGTCCCACCTACATACATTGGGTTGAACCAGGTCCAACATCATCTTGCATCACATTGAAAAGTTTTTTGAGGCAAACCAGTAAAAGTATCAGAGTATCAAAATATTGGATTAAAGATTCAGCACATCATGTCCATGCTTTGGAGTGTACTGCTCAAAGTGGAAAGTAAGAGCAGGTGACAAACAGAACACAATGTTCTGAATCATAATTAGGCCAGTTCCTTTAGCCTAGAAACATTTAAACCCTGCTTTGTCAAAACTGGTTGCGTTTAAAGTTCGTTACAGTGTCGTTGTTGAATAATTCCCTCTTTACATAGACTTTAAGTGGTGAAATGTATGCAGTAGATCTACTGGGGTTTTAGTGTCAACTGACCTGTCTATGGATGCGTCTCCTGGTCCCGAGTACCTCGGTCCTGACCCGTTGTCCAGGGACCCCTGCCTGGGCAGACGTCCAGCGTGAGGCCTGCTCCTGTCTGACCCTGGTGCTAAGTCCCCTGAGGCTCCTGGGTGGCTGTACAGCGATGGATCTTGCAGTTTCGCCTTTTTCCCCTCTGGACCGCCTTCAAACACGCCCTCCACCTGATCAGGCCCCGAGCCATAGAACCACGCCCCCGACTTGGTGAGGATTTCTTGTTGTTTTCGGCACAAGTTGCATACCCACATAACCTGCATTTTGAAATAAAACACAGTGTTAGGGTTGATGACAGACAGGTTGTCTTACATCACCTCTAATGGAGTGTGATGGCATGAGTAGTGTGTGTTATGTTCATTTTTAATATAACTGCAAGGCACATTTTTGTTGTGGGTCAAAATTTTCATTCAAGGTGAAATTCTCAAATCCTACCTGGTATTTAAAATCATATAAATGGAAAAAGGAGGTTTGGAGTTTGGATGTCGACCCCACAGTTATTATAAACATAAATAACAGTTCACACTGATGATGTGTATGATGACATATTTCACACATGCAGCAGCCGTGTTGATTTGGTTAAAGTTAATGTCTTAGACCAAGTGTTATTATTGCATATCAAAGGTTTGTGAGTCACAGGATTTTGTGGATCCTGGGGCAGAAATCCACTGAATTTTATTTTATTATAACATAGACATTTCATATTTAAATATATACATAAATTGAACAATGCTTCATAAATCTCTCTCTCTGAACAGAGTTTATAGCTGAGTAAAAAAAAACAACAACTATATTTTCAAATTTGACATGCAGAGGTTTCCATTCAGCAGTAGAACTATTTGTCAGATTGTTCTCGTAAGGACGTGACCAAGTGCATCATGGAGACTGTATTGCAATGACACAGAGGTTCATCAAATGACCTGATGTAGTACAGTATGTGGAGGGTGAGTAATTGGGACAAATGCACTTTGGGAAGATAAAAAGCATTGGAAGAGCAACATTTCCCCCGTTGTGCTCTACAAGGCCTGGAGAGATTGAGGCTTTTACTGCTCTGTGATGTCGTGCCTTTATCTCCTCCACACTGCAGCTGCAGCAGCCAGCTCACCACATTGGACTCATAAATCCAGGGGCAGACAGGAGCCCTGATCACAGCAGGCACACACACACACAAACACACACACACAGACAAACACACACCTCCATTCACACAGTTCAGGTGACCACACCTGCCTCACAAGCAACTTAAAGTGAAATCTAAGTGTTTTTAAGAGGAATAAGAATTCTCAGTTTGACTGACAGGCCAGACGGCCATTAAGGCTGCCAAGAGCTACTGCAACCCCCACCCCATGCCACATTCACCGCCTTTACAGCCCCAGTGCTGAGTCAGTGCATTATCGTTATTAGTGCGAGTGGGCCTTGAATGCTGCCTCACCCACACTTAGCCTGTATGTAGCCTGCCTTTTTTCAGCAACTCCTGAACCAAAAAACAGACCTGTGAGTTATTTGTAAATTAACAGCATATATATATATATATATATATATATATATATATATGCCTGCTCATCACACATTTCTGTGCAAGGCTGATTCATCAGTAAGAATCTCGCCTTATAGTATGACGGCTAACTTTGTTTCCTGGTTTGTCCTATGGCTAGGTTTGGTTCTGTGTCATAATCAATATAGAATTCATTTGTCAAATTAATTTTATGACTATGAGTATAGGTTTACAGATAAATGATGAAACTGTTGTTCAGTTGAGTTGGTTCATTTTTAACAGCTTTCACAAAGCTAATGATAATATTTGCTTTGTTCTATTTAAAATAATATAAACAAAAATTTAAAATTTTGAAACATACTTTAAAATTTTTAAATATTTTTTTCAACTAAAAGCAAAAAAAAATTATTATCCCTTATTATTATATTAAATACATATAAAACAAATATTTTTATCCTATGTGTAACATGCTTACAGTAACTGAAAAACATCCTTTCATTTTTCACTTTGTGAGTGTTGCCCTCAGATAGACCTCCATTATGCAGGTGATGCTCCTGAATGAGAGGCTCAACACCGACAAGTGTTTCCCCCACGGATCAGAGACACTGTTGTTATGAACTTCACAGGTTTTGACACAGCAGCACCAACCTCCACATAAAAGGTCTAAGTCATTTGAGGTGAAAGTCCCCTGAGGGGGTTAAACCAAACTGAAACAAGAGGCCACAGAGCTGACGTTTGTTTCATATACTGTGCATTATATAAAAAAGCAAAAAAAAAATCGAATTATCAGAAGTCAACAATTATGAGTCAGCAATGTTGAAATCTGAAATATTTCAACACCATGACACCTTGTACTGGACTATGTGTGAAATTGACAGACAAAGCATTTATGAGCAGCCATCAACGTTACAGATGGGCTGTAAGTGAGCTGACACACAATGGAAGCAGGGAGGCTACCAATTGTGCTTTATGTTTCCCAGAGGAGTGTAGGCAGTGGGGCCATGACAGCCTCTTTATCTGGGGTCATGAGGAGAGCTCTGCACTGAACCATGAGTCATTAGCCAGGACCCTGGAGTCACCAAGGCCAGTTTTCCTGCTAATAACCACTGATGACTTCCAACACTTACATGTTGTGCAGACAAGTGGCATAGCATATAGTCCTGCTTCAACTACAAGATAATGTTGAAAAAGTAATACAATCTTTTTTTTCTTCTTTTGAAACAGATGAAAATGAAAAGATGAAATTTCAATGATTATGAATCTACTTCTAGTTCATAGGCTTTTATCTGAACAATGGGTACATTATATAATTTAAGTGGTTCAGAAAAAAGACTGCTCAAGACAATAAGGCCAATACAGCATCTGTCAGTCAGAGTATACAAACACGTTTAAACCTGTCCTCGGGTTTGGACATTTATTGAAGTTTTAAAGAAACAGTTCTGTCTAGAACTATTTTACACTTTTAAAGGAGACATAATTTTAATCCCTTTTTTAGTATTTTCTCCGTAATTACTATTTGTTTAATTGTGGCCAACCAAGAGTCATGTTGAACTTTCATTATTATTAATTATGATACCATAAATACACTAAGAGAAAAATAAAAAGTACTGCTTTTATATGTCTAGTGACTTAAAAATATACTATATTAGAAATTAGATGAATCTTTAAATCTTTATTTTCCAAATTCCTTAATTCTAAGAAAATCAAAAGCATTACTATTTTACATTCAATCAGTGAAACAACAGTAACCAAACCATGACAGTAACAAACTGAGAGCAGCATACATAGTGAGGTGCTTGTGTGAGATCAACCTGCTGTGATGTAAAGGTCTAAAACACAACACTTCCTGTAGACCACATCCTCTCTACAACACATGCAGTTACCCTGAACACAATGTATGGTCATACAGGTCAAATGGCTGTAACATCCAGATTTGTTGATTCTCCCTGCAGCTCTTTTCAGACACACACACATATGTACACACACACACACACATACACACTCATGTGAGAGTTAGAGGCGGGGGCATTTCCCCTCATCTTGCACATGCCGTTGAACCTTGCAGCTTAAAATAGAAATTCAAAGAACCTCTATCGCTGGTTGCAAACAGCAGGAGGAGTATATTCCATTAAAAGTGCTACGGGCTACGGGTTTACTGAGGCAGTGAACAGGGGGAAACAAACCCTTGGCACCATGGGATCAATATATAATTTCCTTGAAGTATTCTTCACTTCACAGAATGTTATGGTTTTACTGATACACAAAAATGCGATCTACTCAAAAGGTACCAATAACGACAGACTAAGTAAGAGCGGCCTCTTTCATGAACCAACAAATACAGACAATTACGCACTATGAATCCTTCAGTAATGTACTTAATGTGTTCCCATTTTTGTCTCCTCCATTCAAATCTTTCCTGCAGGAGTCGTACACATTCATGCAGGAGGCAGCTGGCTTGTCATGAGAAAAAGCACTGAGCTCTCTCTTGTGGCCATTAAACTGTACTACAGTGGATCTTGACAGTGGTTCCAGAGTGAATCAGCAGTATCTTTTAAGGCACATCGCAGCCGACCCAAATGGAAAGTTGTTAAAATTAAATCAACATTATTTATAACATTCATTCATTCTACACTTACAAATTCATTCATAACAGTGCAAAACACACCAATGTTGTAGGTTTTCCTCTCATTTTACCAGAGACCGTTTGAAAGTACCAAGCAGAGCCCTGGTAATAACTGCTATGACTGACGCACTAATATTCTGGCAGTTTAAAATAAATGATGTAAGCATCCTACTGGACCTGTGCTCTAAGATACAGTCAAAGTAACTAAAACCTTTAGGCTTATCTTGCACCAGTGAAAAACATTTCAGTGCATTTTCTGTTGCACTGTGTTTTCATCAGCTTCATAATAACGCCAGAAATGGAGTTGAGGCACAATCTGAAGATGGCACAAGGAGCGATATTGATGTGAAGGTAAATGAAATGTCATAGGTATCATATTGCCTTGGCGTTTCTCTCCTTCACCTGAGCTGAGGTGAACTGCACCACTCATTAAAGACTCATTGTTGCGGGGAATGGAGTGTTCCTCTGAACATCCCAGTCTGGACTGAGTCCAGATTAACCACACAGGGAGAAGTGAGGAGAAATAGTGTCCCTGCCAGACTGTCTGATGGGCTACAATGACAGTGCATGTATTATGTTTCATAAGGTACACTTTCAGTGCAGGTTTAGAATAGTCAGAACTTCAGGCCAACGCTGTCCTAGAGCCATATGAACATGAAAACATTTTACTCCTGGAGGCAATATTCCTAAATACAAAAAAAAAAAAAGTATTTTGTGTATCATTAGGTTTTCCATTAGAATGAAAGGGGAGGCCAACATTTGCATGCTCCAGCAAACAACTGCACGTGGTGAATTACATTTTAATGAGCTTCTAATTTTAGTGGGAACGCCAGCAATAATAATAGACCTGATGAATATTTATGATTCCTTGTTTGAAGTTAAGAGATAAAGAGAAGAGGCAGATACCAAAGAGTGCCAAACCGTGGTCTGGTATGGAAAAAGAAATTGTCTGTCAGACCCACGTCTCACCCCCTTTCGGTTTCGTCAGATATCGTATAATATTTTTTCCTCATATAGGAGTAGGTCTTAGGTAATGTACGACATAAATATTATATAAAATATCGTATCGTATAAAAATGACCATAGAGGGGAAAAAATCACAGCACATTCCAATTAGGCTTACCCATCGCGCCGATTAGGGTAAAAAAAAAAAGATTCCTGTGCAGAAAGATCACCGTCAAATAAATCCCTTAAACGTGGTTACGATTCTCCGCAGCTCCCGAAATGAAGGCTGCGCTCCGACCTTCAGAACCGCGGACAGCTCCGTTCCCAGACAACAGGCTGTCGGACAGCAGCGACTGAAAACACCGTGAAGGTTACACCGGGCACTCGGCTGAGCAAATTCTATCCCATGCCAACAGCACAGTCTCCTCTTTTTTTTCTATTAAAAGAACAATTACACAATCCACAGACCTAAATGTATAATGTTAAAAAGGCAGACTCCGGGAACCAACAAACCGTGCCAACACACCAGTCTCAATGTCAGTAGATCTTCGAGGAGATAACATGTGAGGAATAACGTGTCAGATCACGTTTGTTTCCTCCACCACTGCTTCAACACACAGCCAGGTCTGTGTCGGACTTGATCCAAGCTCATCACACACATGACGCGTCACAGCTCTCCCCTCTATCGTCCAATGATAAGGTGGAGAATTTGGTCGTGCAAAAAAGAGAAAGGAAGAAAAAAAAGAACTAACTGGGAAAACAGCTTCTGTCTCGATAAGCGCAAGATGTCATTTCCGCTCATTTTGATCACAGGGATACTGATGCTGTTGCTGCTGCCGCTGCTGCTGCTGTCACCGTCTACGTCATTGTGTATATTTCTCTTAATGATGCTGCAGGAGGATGAGATCATGTGAGGACAGAATTAAAAAAGACAGGCTTTGGAGCCGAGGGGAAGTAGAAAGTAATGAACAGATGTTTAGAACACAGTTCGAAGCAAAGCGTCTTCATATTTGGCCATTATTGAAAGTGTATTATTATAACTATAAAAAAGTGCAATGTGAATGTAGTGCGTTTAACTCGTTTATATATTGAATGAATTGCGTTTTTTTTTTCAGGAATACATTATAAATACATTATTATACCTCCAACACATTGTTTGTTCTTACATAAAAATAAAGGAAACCAATGTTTCCCAACCTACTTTGAGCCACGACACACATTTTATATTGGAAAAATTCCATGGCACACCACCAAACAAAATGTCACACAAAGTATATGTAATGAAATAAAATTGCCTTCTTTTTTGATTCACAATTTAGCTACTCAGTGTGAAACCTGAGTCTGTTTAGTTGAACACAGGTCGCAGGAATTATATTGGCAAACACAGAGATAATCTTCAACATCTATGGGTGAAACAAAAGCTGACATTTTAATTAATGTCATTAATTATACTAATTTTAATCTATGTTTTCACCCAACATCCAGATGGCCAGTTTCAAGACTTCAGAAAATAACAAACTGATTTCGATGTCCATCCACTTGTTGCTCTTGTTGTTATCTATGTTTTTGCTGTGTCTTTAATCTGTTTTCATGGGCTAAATGACACATATTTACCAGTAGAGAACGGCAGGTCTAACAGTGGAAAAGGCCACAGCATCATTTTACACCAGTAATAGAGCCATTGTTTTAGCATCTTAACTAAATGATCTGGTAAATCCCCGTCTAAGTTGACATTTGATGATTCCTTAACGACATTGGCACCGAGCTCTTTCTGCCTGCGCTGTACAGCGGACACCGAGTTACACCGTAGGACTGACAACCCCCCAGGTAAATAGTGGGCACAGCACCAATGGCACATCCCCTGCCCTCTCTGCCAGTGGCCGATTATCATCACCATCCATTGCCAGCCTGCTGCCACTGCCATTACTCAACACAGTCTGTAAAACATGGTAACTGATCTTCTGGCTATTATCAGCCCAGGAACAATGGAAGCCCGTACAACTGAGGTGAGCAGAGTTTTACTGGCTTCTTGTTTGAATGTAAACCAGCTGGACACATTTTCTCTGGAAAATCTATGTTACACAATGAAAGTGATGTAACCCTTCTGATGTGTTTGGTTAACTGAACTGTATACATGTATATGTCTTGCCTCAGGGTGGATTCAATAGTACCATCACATCAGTCTGCACAGCTTCCTTCCTCTGATCTATACTGCTGTACATGTATTATTGGATTCAGTTAGTTTGCACTGAGTTTGACATTTTATTGACCGCCGTTCTTTTGGCCACGTTTGTTAGGATAAGCTAACAATTAAAGTCAGGAAACCAATTTCTGGAAGTGGTAACGCAACATATCTGTTTTGTTGTTTACGTCGGCACTAGTACAGTTGAAGCACTTTCAAGGCCAATACTTTACACCTGTGTTATTTACAGTTCCAATAAACTAAGGAGCCCAAGATTAAAAAATAAAATAAAATAAAAATCTCTGTTTAGATTATTGTTAGAATTCTGTTTGGCTGCCTTGCACAACAAATCAGATTTAAGTATTTTTTTATATATGAATTATATCATATCATATTATACATGAAAAATGAGTTTAATCATGTTATAAAATTACAATAGTTTGCAATATTTTAATTAACGTGGTCATAAAAAATGTGTATATCAAATATTACACCTATTGATTTCTGATTACATGTATTAATATTGTCAGTGTAGGTTATCAACAATTGTGGTATTTTTAACATCTTGGTAAAAAACATTAATAAATGATTCGTATTTTTAATATTTTTTGGTTACTGAGCTCATATATACATGACATGTTATTGGACAAAAAATTAAGGTATTTTAAAGCACCTTAACAACATGAAAGTAAAAATAATTTTAAAAAATTACAATTTAAACATCTCGAACATAAACCACTCTTTAGTTGTATATCAAAAATAGGTATTAAATAAAGTTTTCAGCATTAGATTCATCCTAGAGCCACAGTCAATGTAATTACATTGATGATTGCTTTTTATTTACTCTATGTTTTAATGTCCATTCTGTATTTCCATATTCTTAATACCTTTATTTATGAATTAATTTTGACACAATATTATTTAGTGTTGTCCATCATAGACTCACAGTTTAACTCAACCAGGGTCAAACATTAGTCTTAGATCTCATTGTTGGTTGCTGAATGTGTTGTTGCTAAATACTGTACAGTACATTATGGCACGTCATGAACAATGCTTGTGTTCAGACACAGTCCGGATCAATACAGAAAAAAAAATTTCTAACC